GTGAGGGTCAGGCACACCATGCCCTCTATGCCCCGCTTCCCAGCCCTGTCATTCTGTTCTCGTATAGTGGCCATCAGTGGAGGGAAAGGTTAGGGGGGCTGTGCAGTAGAGTTGGAGGGTGTGGCCAGAACAGGAAACCTGGCCCGTGGTGCACGCTGGCTTTTGGCAGCCAGCGGGTAACCTGACTTCTGGTCTCTTGCCTAGGACACACATATGATCGGTCCATCGTGGTGGATGGAGAAGAGGCATCACTCATGGTGTATGACATTTGGGAACAGGTAGGCTGTAGGCTGAGACCCAGGGCAGGGTGGGAGGGGTGACCTGGGGATAAGGGCCTGCTGAGAGTGACAGCCTTGTAGCCTGGGCATGAGAACTGTTGGGTAGATACGCATGTGTATGTCATCCCCAGGACAGCAGCCGCTGGCTCCCTGGTCACTGCATGGCGATGGGGGATGCATACGTCATCGTGTACTCAGTGACGGATAAGGGCAGCTTTGAGAAGGCTTCAGAGTTGCGGGTCCAGCTGCGGCGGGCACGGCAGATGGACGATGTGCCCATTATCCTTGTGGGCAACAAGAGCGACCTGGTGCGCTCTCGAGAGGTCTCCTTGGATGGTGAGCTGGGAGTGGGTCGGAAAGAGGAACATCCTGGCTGGGCTGTGGTCCATTCAATCTTGGCTCAGCTCAAGTCCCTGGGGATCATAAGTGGCTAAAAATGTTCAGGAAGAAAACTTGAGGGGGAGAGGGGGAAAGCTGCTGCCCTCCCACAGGACTCCCAGAGGGCTGAGAGGGTTGGGGGAAGGACCAGATGCCCTGGGGCAGAGGAAGCTGCTGGGCATGGAGCTGGGCCACTTTAGGGCCCTCTTCTCCTGTGGCCTTTGGCCTGGGCCTCACAGATGAGGGTTGAGGAGAGTGCTGGAAACGGGACTAGGAGGTCAGAGCATGGATTCAGGGCCAGGGCTAGTGTCCGAGTGTGGGCTTGCCCCTGGGGAGGATCCACTCCTCTTTGGTTGAGCATTCTCCTCTGTGGCCCCCAGAACTGAGTCCCTTAGAGGAACCTAGCATGACTTGGTGACATTCTCCTCCCAGTTTCACTGGTTATTCATCAAAGTATAATATCAAACCATGAGGGATCCCTGGGTGGCGCAGTGGTTTAGCGCCTGCCTTTGGCCCAGGGCGCGATCCTGGAGACCCGGGATCGAATCCCACGTCGGGCTCCCGGTGCGTGGAGCCTGCTTCTCCCTCTGCCTGTGTCTCTGCCTCCCTCTCTCTCTCTCACTGTGTGCCTATCATAAATAAATAAAAAAATAAAAAAAAAATAATATCAAACCATGAAATACTAAGGTGCCCGGCAAGTTCTCATTCTCTTGTGTTGACTACTGCAGCATTTCCGTTTAAGTATAAGACTTCAAATTATTTCAATAAATGAGTTTCCTTTTGTGGGCCTTTGTGAGCTCCTCAGCCACAGATACATTCTGCCGGTTGGGTGACCCAGCAATGCATTGGATCCTTTGTACGGGAGCTGGGTCTGTGTTTCTGGGAACCACCCAGGGCCCCTGACCCTTCCTTCCCTGGCCCCCAGATTCCTGAGTGGTAGCTGCTGTGGGGTGGCTGGGATTTGAGTGGGCTTCTCACCCACTTGGCTTTTGTTTAACTGGAATGTGTCTGTCCCCACCAGAGGGCCGGGCCTGTGCCGTCGTCTTTGACTGCAAGTTTATTGAGACGTCAGCAGCGCTGCACCACAACGTCCAGGCCTTGTTCGAAGGTGTCGTGCGCCAGATACGCCTGCGCAGGGACAGCAAAGAGGCCAATGCACGTCGACAAGCGGGTACCCGACGGCGAGAGAGTCTGGGCAAGAAGGCAAAGCGTTTCTTGGGCCGCATTGTAGCACGCAACAGTCGCAAGATGGCCTTTCGTGCCAAGTCCAAATCCTGCCATGATCTCTCAGTGCTCTAGACTTCACAGGCACATGCTGCATTGTGCATACAAATGGGCAGATTGGTGGGCTGGCCCAGTCAGCTGCCCTAGGTGCCTCAAGGCTGGCTCAGACTCTGGGCATACTCCACCTCATGGTCACGGACAGACAGACGGTGCTGCCCAGGCTGCTCCCAGTGGCCTTCAAGAACTGGGCCCACAGCGATGCATGTACAGGCCCGTGTGTGTCCCCCAGCAGCAGCCTGAGCCCAGCCCGTGGGGCAGGTCTGTGTGTGCGGACAGGACTCTACCTTTCTCCACACTTGGGGTGTGCATGCTCTGGAGGGAGGCTGTTCAGTGCAGTGGTTATTTGTTTACATGCAAACTTTTGTAATAAAGACTATTTCCTGATAGATAAGGGCTGTTGATTCTGTTTCCTCCCGATAGGGGGCTGTAAGAGCAGGAAGTGTTTCCAAGGTTGAGGGTTGGGGCCTCACTGCCCTACCCTAGCGTGTGGCCTTGACTATCCTAATATTTGGGCTCTGACATAGCCAGCTGGAGCAGAGTGGCAGGTGTGGGTTGTGACCTGATTGGAGATCCCAGCTGCCAGAGGAGACAAGAGCCCCTTCCAGCTCACTATCCAGAGTTTTCTCTTGCCCTGGGGCCTGGCATTGCCCAGCTGATAGAGTTCAGGCACCCCACTGTATGTAAGGGAAACTGAGGCTGTCTGAGGGACGATGCCATGTCTCAAGTCCCATGGCCAAACAAGAACCCCAGGTCTGGCTTCTGGGTTGGTATCTCCATCCTGCCTCCTCCCGAGGGGCTGGAAAGTTGCTGAGGTGGGGTATTTGTGGAGCACTTCAGAGACTCCCTGGCTGGGAAAGGAGGAGATGAGTGGCTGGGGCTGGGCTACTGAGCAAGGGGCCTCATTGTTCTCTTGGAAGGGCCAGGCCAGAGCATCCCATGCCCAGTACTGGCTCATGTGGTCTTGGCGGGAACAGATCCCTGGAGCCCTCCCTGCCTGGAACAAGAGGCCTTGCCTTTGCGTGGGAATGTGTGCATGTTTGCCAATAGCTGGAGGTGGGTCTGTCTCCTCACCACCCACACCACGCACAGGTGACTTCTAGGACTTTCCCTACATTGTTTCGGGAATGAGTATCTCCACTTGGCAATGGCAGATGGGGCACTAAAGCAATTGCCTGAGGTCACACATGTAGAAGTGGCTGAGAAGGGATTATAAGGGAAAGGAGGGGAACTGAATGGGAAAAATTAGGGAGACAAACCATGAGAGACTCCTGACTCTGGGAAACAAAAGGTTGTGGAAGGGGAGGTGCGTGGGAGGATGGGGTAAATTGGTGATGGACACTGAGGAGGGCACATGATGGGTTGAGCACTAGGTGTTATACTATATGTTGGCAAATTGAATTTAAATTTTAAAATATGTGTAAAAAAAAAAAAGTGGCTGAGTAGGGACTGGTATATAAGTCTGCTGGTTCCAGAGCCTGAAGGAGCCTGGGGCGAGGCCTGGGACGGTTTCTGAGAAGGTTCTGGGCAAGGATCCATGCATTTCCTCCCTTGGTTCAATTTATTTATTCCACAGGCCCCTAGGAGCTCTTGCCACATGGTTAGAACACCAACTGCAGTTGTTCAATGGCAGAAGGTGTCACACCTGTCTTGACTCACCCACATGTCCCCCAGGGCAATGTTAACTGCTCAAAGCTGCTGTCGCTTCCCACTCCCGCCCTGCAACATACTTAGAGGCATGGTTTTCTCAGAGCAGGTGAAGGTCCTAAGGCCTGAAGAAGAATCCAGGCCTTCCTGGCTCTGATACTTATTGGCTGTGTGACCCTGGGCAAGCCACTCAGTATCTCTGTGCCCTAATATGTGACATGGGGTCAATGCCCCTTCAGAATGGAATTGGGGGAATAATGAAGGCATATGCTTAGAGCAGTGCCAGAGACTCCTGCAGCAGCCCCACAGTGTCCTGCTCCAGGCTGCAGTGCCTGGAGTGCCTGAGTGACACTGAGGTAGGCGCTCAGCTTGCGGCAGCTCAGGGTCCCCTCATCCTCCAGATATGGGGTGGAAAGGACTCAGGGAAACCATGGGAAACTCCGGGACAAGGCTGCGCTGGCAACGGGATCCCTGACCCTTCCCACACACACCCCTTGCCGTGGACTCCCAGTCCCCAGAAGCTTCTCTGGGCTCCACTTGGCTGCCCTCAGTAAGGGAGGAGCCTCTAGCAAGCCCTGCGATTCCCTCAAGGTCACCTGAGCTGGTTCAATCTTCTCTTCCTTCTCAGAGGCACGAGACGGCCCGTTGTCCCTGCCCTGTCCGTGCCAGCAGCTAGTATGAGCCCTCAGGGGCCTCAGGGGATTTCACACTGGTCCCACTGGTGGGTGGTCTGGAGCCCCACATGCCCAGTTCAGGTCATCTTCATTTATCCTTCAGGTGCAACCACCAGCTCCTTGTTTTTGACCCAGGCAGAAGCTGCCAGGGCCAAGCAAGGGCAAGGTCACTACTGGGTCCTGAGACCTGTCCTGGAGGGGTCCCAGGCTGATGGGAGAGACAGACAGTGGCAATCTGGTGTCTCTTCTGCTCTGCTAGAGGTAGCACATGGCATGGAGTAGAGCGTATTCCCAGAAAAGAATCCCAAACAAACCTGAGAGCCCAGGGAAGGTTTCCTGGAGAAAGAAATATTTGAGCTGAGTACTGAAGCCTGAGCAGGTGCTCACCAGACAGATGAAAGGAAGGAAGGGCCTTCCAGACTAAAGAGACAGATTGGGCCAAGGTAGAGCTGTGGATGCTGGAACATGGGGGTGGGGTGGGTGGGTGGAGAAGCGGGATTGATTCTGGAACCACAGAATAAGAAATAATGTCCAAGGCCAGAGGGCCAAGAAGTACCCCCTGGGCTGTACAGGAATGGGCGGGGTGCCAGGCCGATGATCTCCCCACCTCCCGGGGCTGGCAGTCACGGATGCTGAGCAGCCCCCAGCTTTCCAAAGTCAATGAGTAACTTGGGGGCTGGGCAGGGCCAGGCCTGCTGCTGTGGGCCCAGCGCTGTTTTCCACTCCTGAGCGAGCGTGGCCGGCCCGCCTACCTGCTCAAGGGTCCGCCCTGCTCTACCCCACCCAGCCGGCCCCAGCGCTCCCTGGGGAAGCAGCCCTCTCGCCTGGCAGCTGGACCACGGGAGCCTGCCCTAGGCACCAGCGGGTGAGGGCGCTCGAGTGGAGGGGTGAGCAGGGCCGAGGCTGGGGTTGGTGGCGGGGGTAGGAAACACCGGCCCCATCCAGGCCTTGTTTGGGGAAGGAGTCCCAGGAAAGGCTGGAGTGGCCGTCCATGCTCTGCGTGCCCAGTTCCGTGCTGAGTGCTGGAAAACACCAGGATGAGGGCAGGGCTCCTGCCTGGGGGACTCCGTGTCTGAAGGATGGCAGTGGGTAGAAAAACAGGCCCCAAGACCCTGAACCATGGGTCCTCTGTTCCAGGAGGAATGGTCCTGTGGTCAAGTCCTGTGTGACCTTGGTCAGGCTTTGCCCTTCAGGCCTTGCCTACAACATGAGGCAACCGCAGGAAGTGACCCTCAGAGTCATCAGGGTCTTTCCAGTTCAAACTTTTGTGATACTCAGGGCTGCTGGGCTATTACCACTTTGGGATCTCTGTAAGAGCTGGGGAAGCTATGTGGGGAAGGAGACAATCAAACTCCCATGGAGATCCCCGTGGGGGCATGAGCCAAAAGGCAGGAGGGCAGGGCCTGGGGGCCTGAGTGGGCCTGGGTGAGGAGCTGCAGGCAGTGGGTAGCCACAGGCTCCTCCAAGGGGAGGAAGAGGCTATTCTGTCATGAGGTCCCTCTGGCTGCTGGTATGGAACAGGCCAAGTCAGGGGAGAAGGGGTGGGAGGAGGTTGGGGACCATGTCCAAATGGGTGTGATGGGGAGGGGCAGCTCTGAGAGTATGGAAGGACAGGGGACAGGAGGAGACCTGGCCCCCTTTCTTATAGTGACAGGTAGTAGGAGGTCCAAATGAGGAAGGGACATTTGTACCCTATGGGGACTGGGGAAGTCCTGGCTAGGCTGAGCGGGGATGGAGGGAGGGATGCTCTCCAGGAGGACAGTAATGGGAGGGACCCCCTGCCCACTGATCCTGGCTGGATCCTTACTGCCATGTCCCTCAGGCCGGTCCTCACCATGATCCCCACCTGGCTGTCACTGCTTTGTCTCTTCATAGCCCAGGTGAGCTGGGCCCTGCTCATCTCCTTCAGATCCTGGCCCTGGGTGTTGGCATCCTTGTCCCCCATTCCACCTGGACCAGTTGCACTGACCATAGAAGGGACTCATTGTGGGAGGGTGTCCAGAGCTGCCTGTAGGCCTGTTGGGGGATCAGGAGGTCAAAGGCCAGAGGGTGGATGGGCTAAGGGACAGCCAGGCCCATGGAGGGGCCAGAAGTCCACCTGTGACAGGAAGGTAAAGCCTGGAGACAAGGTGAGAATCCTCCCCCAGGTGTTCCCCGAGGCCCAGCCTGCAGACCTGTATGTGGAAGTCCCAGAAAACTATGGTGGAAATTTCCCTTTGTACCTGACCAAGGTGAGCTTAAGAGCTGGGGTGGGGGGGCCTGCCCTCCCCCCAAATTCTACTTCCCCTACCTCTAGCATTTCTATCTCTTTCTTGCTCTGCCTCTCTCTTTATCCTGCTTCCCAATCGGTATGTGATATAGTGTAAGTGACTAACAAAATTTCAATTCCAGAAGAAAATAGAGTTTTAATAAACTATTGGTGGTGGGGTTTCGAGCTTTAGAAAGGAGGTTCAGGGAGTACTGGGGAGTGTCAGGAACAGGGGAAAGAGCTCTGGCTTTGCATCTTGGGCCTGCTGTTTACTGGCTGTGTGACTTCAGGCAAGCGCTGGCCCTCTCTGAGTTTCAGTTTCCCCCCATTAGGTGGAGGGGTGTCCCACTGCCTTTACTTACCTCTGTTCTCCCCCGCAGCTGCCACTGCCCCCTGAGGAGACTGAGGGTGAGATCGTGCTGTCAGGGAACCCAGGCGTGGCCGCCGAGGGCCCCTTCGCTGTGGATCCAGAGTCCGGCTTCTTGCTGGTGACCAGGGCCCTGGACCGAGAGGAGCAAGCGGAGTACCGGCTTCAGGTATGACAGGCCGGATGTGGGGGAGAAGAGTGAGCGCCGGGCAGGGCGCTGACGGGGTTTCCTGCCAGGTCACCCTGGAGACTGAGGTTGGACACGTCCTGTGGGGCGCACAGCCTGTGCTTGTGCGTGTGAAGGATGAGAACGACCAGGTGCCCCACTTCTCTCAGTCCATCTACACCTTTCAGCTGAGCCAGGGCACCAGGCCCGGTGAGTGATGAGAGAACAGGGAGGAAAGAGTTGGCTGACCGTTGGCGTAAGGACAGGGCAGCCAGGGTCCAAGCTGCCCCCTTCCATTTCTGTCCCATCCCACTGCCCCCCACCCCCCCAGAGTCCTCCAGTCCCATCCGCTCTTGGCCTCAGTTTGCTCCTCTACAAATTGGGGTGAAAGGCTATGGCTCGCCTCCAGAGTCCTGATACGATGATGGGTATGGAAGGTAGTAGCAGGGAGGGACGGGGAGGCGTAGGACTCTCCCTAACCCCTGCATCCCTTATGGTTTGCCCTCTCCACCCACACCAGGCATCCCCTTCCTCTTCCTTGAGGCTTCGGACGAGGATGAGCCAGGTACAGCCAACTCAGATCTCCGATTCTACATCCTGAACCAGGCCCCAGCCTGGCCTTCCCCAGACATGTTCCAGCTGGAGCCTCGGCTGGGGGCTCTGGCCCTCAGCCCTGAGGGTGAGCCTGAGCTGGGTGTGATGAGGGGAAAAGGTCAGGGAAAGCTGGGGAAGGCGGCAGGTGAGCTTAGTAGTAGGATGGCTTGGAGCTTGAGAAATGAAGAAGAAAGTAAATTCTTTTTTTTTTTTTTTAAGATTTTATTTATTCATGAGAGGCATAGAGACAGAGGCAGAGACAGAGGGAGAAGCAGGCTCCTGGCAGGGAGCCTGATGCGGGACTCAATCCCAGGACCCCGGGATCATGCCCTGAGCTGAAGGCAGACACGCAACCACTGAGCCACCCAGGGGCCCCCAGGAAAGAGTGTTCTAGGCAGAGGGTGGCAAGGCAAAAGACTTGAACCATGCATGGAGAGAAAAAGTGGTGTGAATGGAATACCTCAGCCCTACGCTCTGGACACCCGAGCCTAAGCAGTGAGGAGAGGAGTGACATGAGGGTCTGTAGCCTATGATGTTGCTGGGAGACCTTTGGGCTGATTGTAAGATCAGCCTGGACCTGGGATGAGACCCAGATCTGGGAGTTCAGACCAGAGGCACAGGATGGGGGTGGAAAGAAAAGCTAACCATACATCTACCCGCCCAGTCAGCCCTTCACCCACCTACCACCCAAACACATACACACCCCATCTATTCAAATATCTATCCAAACTAGCCCATCCACACACCCAACTCCCTATCCACATACCTAGTCAACCATCCATTCATCCATCTGGTCATCTACTCATCTACCCATCCACGCATGTACCCCCCATCCTCATCCTAGTCGTCTGGTCCACCAACCATTCATTGTGTAGATAGATATGGAAATGACTTTGCAAACGTTCAAGCCCTGCTTGGGTGCTCACTGTGGTGCTAAAAGTCCTTCTCGCCCTTGGTCCAAGAGAGTATCCTGAACACCTGCCACACGTTTGGCTTGGTTATTTGGTGCCTTGTTAAGAAGGAAGCCCTGGACTCCTGCTCAGCTGACCACTCTGCCCCTTCTAGGAAGCACCAGCCTAGACCGGGCTGCAGGAGGGCCCTACCAGCTGTTGGTGCAGGTCAAGGACATGGGTGACCAGGCTTCGGGCCACCAGGCCACAGCCACTGTACATGTCTCCATAGTAGAAAACACGTGGGTGCCCCTAGATCCTGTCCACCTGGCAGAGAATCTCAAAGTTCCATACCCACACCACTTCGCCCAGGTGAGTAAGTACCTGTCAGTCGCTGAAGTAGCCCCAGGAATGGTACAGCAGGAATCTCAAGATTTGGAGGGTAGGTCTGAGGCCAGCCTGACCCCTGTTCCTCCCCTACCTATGTTCATCCCTCTACTGTCCCCATCAGTTCCCATTATGGAATAGGGTATCCAGGGCCCCGAGACCAGGCCCACAGCCCCTCACCGGCTACCCTCTGGCAAGTGTGGCCCTGGGGCCTGACCTGACCTTGCCCCAGGCTTCCTCAGGGAGAACAGCTGCCACCTCCCTGCTGCCACGGGGATTGTCACCCAGGCTTGGAATGTCTCAGACCTCCTTGAGGAATGCCCTGGGGTCAAGCCCAGCTCAGAGGCTGGAGAGTAAAACAACCTGGTCATTCAGCACTTTGAGCGGGGGCCAGGCTTGGACCAGGCCCACCACGGACTTACTACAATAAGTGTCCCAAACAAAGGGGCCCTATCTGGACTCCAGGGACGATAGTAGCTTGCCTGAGGTCCCACAGTAGCAGGGGCCCAGGCTCCCCACCCAGGAATAGAAGAGCTGACGTGGGCTGCTCCGGCCCACCTCCTCCCGGGGTGCCCTTGTTCTGTGTCCCACTCCCAGGTCCACTGGAGTGGGGGAGATGTACATTATCACCTGGAAAGCCAACCCCTGGACCCTTTGATGTGGATGCCGAGGGGAAACTCTACGTGACCGAGGAGCTGGACCGAGAAGCCCAGGCTGAGGTGAGGTGAGGGGGCAGCCAGGAGCGCAGGCTGAGGGAGGCCTGGTCACTGTCCGGTTGGCTTCTGGGGGTATCCTGTCCCCCACAGGCACTGAGGCAGTGGAAGGGCACCCGGAAGAGCCAGAGCTGGCCACCAGAAGGGCACCTAGACCCAAGCCAGCCTGGAGCTGCCCGTGGGCTTCATCTGAGGCCCCCCCTGCCCACTTCAGTTCCTGCTCCAGGTGCAGGCTCGGAATGCCCGTGCTGAGGACTACACAGAACCTCTGGAGCTGCGTGTGGTAGTGACAGATGAGAACGACAATGCGCCTGTCTGCCCGCTGTGGGACTCCCCGATCAGCGTTCCTGAGCTCAGCCCCCCAGGTGGGCCATGGGCCCAGTCAGGGGATGCGGGAGGGTGGAAGCCCTTACAAACCGTCCCATCTTGCTCCTCTCTGGGATGGGGTCAGCCTCGGGCCCCGTTATCAATGTCCCTACCTTCCCACGAGCTCAGGTTAGGTCCAGCACAGAAGAGGACTGAGGCCTCCAGATTGGGCTGAGGTCCCACCGGGGGGGTGCTGTCTTTGCAGGCACTGAGGTGACTAGGCTGTTGGCAGAGGACATGGATGCCCCCGGTTCCCCCAATTCCCACATTGTGTATCAGCTGCTGAGCCCTGAGCCTGAGGAGGAAGCAGAGGGAAGAGCCTTCGAGCTGGACTTCACCTTGGGCAGCGTGACCCTGAGGGATGCCCCCCTCCGAGCTGGCCAGAACATCCTGCTTCGGGTGATGGCTGCTGACCGAGGAGGAGCCGAGGGCAGTAAGTGCCCTGCTGGGGACCCAGGCTCCCTCCTTCTCTCAGGCTCCCTCTTCTCAACGTACCCTCTCCTGCCTCAGGCCTCAGCAGCACATGTGAGGTGGCTGTCACAATCACAGATATCAATGACCATGCCCCCGAGTTCGCCACATCCCAGGTAAGCAGGAACAGGAGAGGACACCTTGGGAGGGCACCGATGAGGGGCTCATAGCCCCTCCCCATCTCTCCAGATTGAGCCTGTAAGCCTCCCTGAGGATGCAGAGCCAGGGACTCTGGTGGCCACGCTCATGGCCACCGATGCCGATCTTGAGCCTGCCTTCCGCCTCATGGACTTTGCCATTGAGGCGGGGGATGTAGAGGGAACCTTCGGCCTGGATTGGGAGCCAAACTCCAGTCACGTCCAACTCCGACTCCTCAAGGTAAGGGGCTGGGAATGGGGGGCGGGGGGCGCACATATACCCACATTCATGCACAAGTGTGCCATGCCCTGGCCCAAACAGTGACCCAGACCCCATTGATTCTAGAACCTCAGCTACGAGGCAGCTTCAAGCTACGAGTTGGTGGTGGTGGTTCGAAATGTGGCTGAATTGGTGGGGCCAGGCTCAGGCCCCGGAGCCACAGCCACAGTGACTGTGCTGGTGGAAAGGCTGGTGCTACCCCCCAAGTTGGACCAGGAGAGCTACGAGGCCAGTGTCCCAGTCAACACCCCAGCTGGCTCCCTCCTGCTGACCATCCAACCCTCAGACCCCATAAGCAGTCCCGTCAGGTGAGCCAGAAGCCCGCCCTTGCCTGAGCAGGACCTCCCCTGCTCCTAAGGGAGGACCCCAGGGCCTCAGAAGGGACTCACATTATCTATGGTCTGGAATATTCCTCAAACCATAGCTGATGCCAAAGTTGTGACTCCTGAGGGTGAGTCAGAGCTAGATGAGTTGGATAGGGCATGGAGAGGAGTGTTAGGGCTCCATCCAAGCTCAAATGATGCCTCCCATGCTGTCCTGGATGGGACCCCCCATTTCCTTCCATGACAGGGTCTGTGCCCTGGCCCCCAGGCCCCTTTGTGGGGTGATCTGAGGTGGAGTTGAGTCAGTTGAGTCAGGTCCCCCAGGCTCTGATAGATACCCCCCTCCACAGTATCCATGATTCAAGCCCTGTCCCTCGACAAGTCCTTAAAGCTGGGGAGAGAGACTAGGCACCCAGGGCACTGCTGCCCGCCACGAGTCACGGAGAGGATGTGACACTTGAACAGGTCACGTGGCCCTGGGGGGGGCATCTCTGAGTAAGACCCCATATATGGTCCCAGTGCCTCCCTGCCCTCCGTCTTCTCTGGGCCTCAGGTTCTCCTTGGTCAATGACTCCGAGGGCTGGCTCTGCATCAAGGAGGTCTCGGGGGAGGTGCACACAGCCCGGCCCCTGCAAGGGGCCCAGCCTGGCGACATGTACACAGTGCTCGTGGAGGCCCAGTATGAAGGTATGGCCAGGCAGGGGTGGGGCTTCTGGAGGCAGAGTAAGCCTCAGGCCGAGGGAGAGGTGGGAAGGGCTGAGCTTTCTTCCCAGGGTCCTTTCTGGCATCCGCTGCCCCAGGCAGGAAAGAGGAATGAGGGCTGGGGCCAGTGTCAGTCTCTGAGATGCCTGGCCTCTGCTTCCCCTCTCAGGCCACCCTCTTCCCTGGACACTTAATAGTCCTCCGACCTTGCCCCTTAGTCCTGGAGGGCCTCTCAGGCTCCAGACATGGGCTAGGAGCAGAGGCTGTGGGCCAGGAGGTGGAAGGAGTGCCAGGGGCTGCGTTATGGCAGGTGAGCCAGGACGTGAGCCCGAGTGGGACACTGAAGCCAGATATGGAGGACTCCGAATGCCAAGTTGAATGGATCAAAAGCTGGCCCAGGGGTGGGTATGTCAGAGGCAGGTGTCCGCTCTGGGCTGGGCTGTCCTGTGGTGGACGACAGGCTCGGCAGAGTGAGCTCACCCACAGTCAGGGCATCCCGACATTGCTGGGCCCTGATGCCAGCAGTTGGTTGGGGGGGGCAGTGAGGGCAAGCCTGGCATCCAGAAAGCACAGCAAGGCCCGGCAGCCATTGGGATAGTGAGGGGGCAAGGCGTCCCTTGAGGCAGAGACAGGGGCGAGGATGCGGATGGGGATGTGGAGGAGGACCGGGTGGAGCAGGTGGCAGACAGCGGGGGACCACGGGCTGGGCGCTAGCTCAGCGCTGCCTCTTCTGCAGATGAGCCAACGTTGAGCACCTCTGCAAGCCTCGTGATCCGCTTTCTGAAGGCCCCTTCTGCCCGGGCCCCAGCTCTGAACCCCGTACCCACCCGCCACCTCTGCACACCCCGCCAGGACCACGGCGTGGTTATCAGCGGACCCAGCGAGGACCCTGACCTGGCTGATGGGCATGGTCCCTACAGCTTTGCCCTTGGTCCCAACCCTACGGTGCAGCGGGACTGGCACCTCCAGGCTCTCAACGGTGTGTAGTGGGGAAGCACTGGAGACCGTGGCCGAAGCAGGACGCGGTGTGACACTCGGAAATGAGATGCCCTTGCACTATGCGGGGGGGCTGGGGTGTGAGCCAGGCCTAGGGCTTATCCAGGCTAGTGACTGTGGTCCCTGCTTATGGTCCCGCAGACTCCCACGCCTACCTCACCCTGGCCCTGCACTGGGTGGAGCCACGTGAACATGTAGTGCCAGTAGTTGTCAGCCACAATGCCCGGATGTGGCAGCTCCAGCTCCGAGGTAAGGCCAGGGCTCTGTGTGCCTGCAGTTCCTGGGGTGCCCTTTGGGATGCAGGGGGAGGGGCTGGGTACGCATGCCCACAGGCTCACAGGCTGTACAAATGCCTGTGCGTGCCTGCTCATCTGTGGCCAGGCACCCCGATGCATGTGCACAGAGCCACCCCCACACACACATAAATACACATGTGTGCATGAGAACGGATGTTAGCCGGCTGCGGTGGGGCCTCCCAGCAGCTGGAGAGCCTGCCCCCACGGCCTTTATCTTCCTCCCCCGCCCCCAGTGGTAGTGTGTCGCTGCAACGTGGAGGGGCAGTGCATGCGTAAGGTGGGCCGCATGAAGGGCATGCCCACGAAGCTGTCTGCAGTGGGCATCCTCGTGGGCACCTTGATGGCGATAGGTAATGGATGCTGGGCTTGAGGGGGGGGTGGCCGGAGTTACAGCCTCCAGATGCATGGCTCCCTGTCCCGTGGTGGCCCCCGGGGCTGGAGCAGGAACCCCACAACTCTCCTAGTCATCATCATCATCGATAACAGCATTAACCATTACGTTATTACACGCTGACTGTGTAATACAGGATTATTGCACTGAATGCTCCTCACAAACCTGAGGTAGTTGTGGCATCTCCCCATTTTCCAGATGAGGTCACTGAGGCTCAGAGAAGTTAAGTGACTTGTCTGAGGTCACCCAGACAGAATGTAGCAGAGCCCAGGTCTTTCCAGCCTAATCCCTTTAGTCCAAGCCTCCCTCTTTATCCCCTTGATTTCTTTAGCCCTCTAGATTTTTCCCTGGCTGGTATTTTTTGTTGTTGTTCCTAGTACAATGCTACCATGTGCCTTTCTCTCAGAGTCCATGGGAACAGCTCACTGGCTCCCAGATGACTCCCACTCAAACCGTTCCCCAGAGAAGGGGACTTTGGAGCCTGGGGTGGCCTGGGCAGCTGCAGGCCAAACAATCAGGCTTCTTCCGACACCAGGACCACAGTCATTTGCAGCCCAGCCGTGGGGATGCTGTCTAGGAAATCTTGATTCCTTGTTAAACGAATACCAATGGCAGGTGATGGACAAGTGTCCGGCCCCTTCTGAGAGCTGATCCATCCCTCTTGGGCCTCTCAGGCATCTTCCTCATCCTCATCTTCACTCATTTGACCCTGGCAAGGAAGAAGGACCTAGATCAGCCAGTGGACAGCGTGCCCCTGAAGGCTGCAGTGTGAATGGTCCAGGCAGCCCCAGCGGAGAGCTTGGCCTCTACCTCCATCGGAGTCCACTGGGGGAGGGCCCAGCACTGCCCATCAATGGGGCGGGGGGCGGCTAGGACAGATAGAGCCCCTTTACCTGCCCGGGGGTGGAGGCAATGTCACCAGACAAATCTGTAGAGCCTGAACACTGACTTTATGGGCTGCCCATGGGAATCCTCCAAATGGTGACACATTTGTCCAATAATAAAGCCTCAGAGAGCAGGGCATGGGCTACACCTGTATCTCGGTGTCTTGTACGTGTGTGCATCACCCACGTCAATCTTTCCCATCTCCTGCTGCACAGAAAGGGTCTAGGGGATTGAGGGAGAAGCCTGGGTCCCTTGTGAGGAGGGACATGGGGGCAGCATTTCAGCTCTTGGTAAAAACTTGAGGTGGGGGGAAGGTTGGTCATTTCTGTGAGCATTTGGAGCCGGCGGCTGTAGACCCTGGATGGGTCAACGCTGACTAGGCGAAGGTTGAAGACGGCGTCCTTGAGAGTGTATTCTGTGTTTCTTGGGACGTATATGCTAGGGGAGGGCGCCCGTGAGTCTATGTCATGGTTTGTGTATGAGCACACAGCTGTGTCTGCATGAGTTGCCTGCATGTGGGTGGGCAGAGGTCCCACAGTCTTAAGAGGGGTCTATGCAGGAATCATGAGAGTCTAATAGGGCTGGAACAGAGAGCTGAGGTAGGGAATGGGTCCCTCTGCCCCAGCACAGGCCCCAGCACACCTCTGGGTTTCATCCACAGGATGGTGAGTGCATGGGGGCGGGCTCTGCAGACAGAGAAAGAGCAATCACTCAGAGGGACAGGAACCCCCCTGGCTCATCCTGGAGCTTCCCCTGCCCCGAGTGAACCCCTTCCCCTGACCCAAGGGTAAGCCATGGCCCTGGTGCCCTTTGAGCCCTGACCATACCTCCAATTTTTGGCCCTTGACTGACCCTAGACACATGCTGATCCTCCATGTACCCATCCCAATGGTCTCTGGGGAGCCAGGGTGGGACTTGCCGTCCCAGGCACCCTGAGCTGATGATGGTAAATCACGGGGAAGGGAGAAAAACAACCTCTGTGGGGCCCAGGCCCTATTTTTAGGAGATAATCTCTCCACTCCTGGCAGATTCTGTGGGATGGGGGCCAAGTCCAGCCAAGAGAGATGGGGTAGGCATCCTGGCTGGCCTGAAGAGTCTGAGAGAGTCACAGAGGATCCCCTGAGGCTGGTTCCAGCCATCCTGGGCCCAGCTCACACACACACACACACACACACACACACACACACACACACACACACACACGTGAGTTGCTGACTACTGCAGTCTAAGCAGAGCTTGCCACCCCTCTCCCAGCTCTCCCAGGATCCTCTACTCAGCCTGCATCCACTTAGAAGTCTCCAGGGTGCAAAGCTCTTCAAAGGTGGCATCCCTTCTAATCTTCCCACCAACCTGCGAGCGCAGGATTAATGGCCCCTTTTGCCAGTGGAGTTTCTTGAAAGTCAGAGAGGTTAAGGGCTGTGGCTGAGAGTCTTGGAAGCAGAGCGCAAGGTGGGACTGTCTGGCCAAGATTTGAGTTACTTCTCCTGAAGCATCCACAGCCCTCAGCTGGCCTCTGCTCCCACGAGATCCAACAGAAGGGCCTCAGAGATCAGCAGGCCAGCTCCTTCTTGTCAAGTTGGGAAAGTGAATCACGAAGAGGTGAAGGGACCTTTCCAAGTCCAGCCAACCAGTGGGATGCAGCACCTACCCGGGACCCTGGAATCACCCTGCTCTCTGGGTCTTTATTCTGGATGGATGGATAGTAGATAGGTGGGGTGACTGAGTGGATGGATGGGCAGGTTGGTGGATTACAGATGGGTAAATGGGCGGATAGGAGGAGGGCTGGTAAGCAGATCAGTGGGGTGCCAACAAAGGAAAGAGTGGACGACAGGACACCAGGGAAAATTAAAGCACCTGCCTCAGTTTGCAGGCTTTTTTTCCTTTGGCCTCCAGGTCTCAGGCCATGCTCTGATAGTGTCAGTTCTGGGGCTGGCCATAAGGTCCAGAATCCCCAGGGACATAGATTCACTTTCCCCCAGAGTCTGTGGACATAAGCCTCTCCTTGATCCCCAGGCTATTCCATAGAGGAAAGTGAGGGTCGGGTGGGGGCATGGCTTCTCCTGGGTCTCAGAGGGAGAGAAACACAGAGCCAGCACCGGTTTGTGGACAGGGCCGTGGGTCAGTGAGTGCTAGTGGACTACACTGGGGACGTGGGCCTCATTCTGCAGGCAGGCCCTAGCTGCTAAGGCAAGGTGAGGACTAGCTGTGGCTCACTGTGATCCATGCTCCGCCCCATCTTTGCTGTGTGTTCTCAGATGAGTCACTTCACCTCTCTGAGCGCTGGTTTACTTGTTTCTTTGTTTTTTTAAATTTTATTTAAATATTCTTGAGAGACACAGAGAGAGAGGCGGAGACACAGGCAGAGGGAGAAGTAGGCTCCATGCAGGGAGCCCGATGTGGGACTCGATCCTGCGCAGACCCTCAACCACTGAGCCACCCAGGCGTCCCTGGTTTACTTGTTAATAAAATGGGCCTCACTAAAATGGAGTTGTTGAGAGGACTACATGAGATGATCCCCACAAAATGCGTCTAGCACAGTGCCGGGCACACAGTAGTTCAGCACCCATGGTTTTCCCTTGTGTGCAGACTGTGGGGGTACCTCCCACAGGTGCCTACAGCCACTTGTTCTCACATTCCACCCCATGCAGCTCAGGCTTTAGGGAGGGAGTATGAAGGGGCACCCCAACTCTAGCCCCCACATGGTGCTGCTGGGTGACCCTAGGCATGACACCCCCTCCAGCCTTGGCTCCTTGCCAGCTCTAAATCTCTCTCTCTGGGGGGATGCCGAGGGGTCTCACAGGGTTCAGACTGGTCTGGAGCTTCAGGGAGTCACAGGATCTGCCCCAGTGGGGAGCTCATGCTCCCCCTCTCCCAGGCCCCTTTCAGAGGCACAGGGCCAGATCAAAGGGACCCAGCACTGAGGATTGGGAGGCAGGCTTGGAAAGAATGTAAACATGAGGATATTTTTAAACTTTTTCCAGCCCCAGAGATTAGGGCTCTTGAAGGGAAAGGCCCAGAGGTCGGTCCAGCCCTCACTCACAGCCTGGGGACCTCAGAGACTCCCATCCCACCCACAGCTACCTGTACCCACCCCAGGACTCTGGCTCGGGCTAAGGGCAGTTCTTCCTCTGATCACATCTCCAAGGGTCCTTGCTATCGTGGGAGAGCAATTTTCCCATGATGGGACCGAAGAGGTGTGGGAGGACCCAAAGGACTTCAAGCATTGTGGGGGTCTACCTGGCAGGGCTAGTGTTGAGCGACGAAGCTTGGAGACCCCGTGGTGGCCCTGTGACTCCACCAGACACACACACACATGTGTGTGTGTCTTGTCAGTGTGTAAGTTCACGTTAAAGTCTGGTCTGCGTGGTGTCACAGTGTGTGAATGTGCCGGGAACCCTTCCCTTCCCTAGCGTCCCCGGACCCTCTCCCCAAGACCGCTTGGGTCTTGGGTGGATGGGGGTCGGTGGAGGGTGAGGCTGACAGGAGGCAGGCTCCAGGGGAAGATGAGGAGGGCAAGGGGGCTGGGAGCAGAGGGCTGAGGAGGCTTGGGGGAGGGGCTGGGTCCGGGTCTGAGCCACGCGTGAGTCAGGCTGTGGGAGTTCCAGGGGCCACTGACGTGGTGGTGGGGGCGGGAGAGGCTAGATCCCCCCCAGGTGTCACAGTGACTCAGGGACGTGGACACAAAGCTCCCCACATCTCCCCACTCTGGATGTCATGGTGACGCTCACCCTGGTTCTATGACAACAGCCTCTTCCCTCCGAGTGATGCCGCCACCCTCGCACACTCGTGCGACACAGTGGAGCACACCCACGGGAGTGTCATAGGGAGACTCACAGAGGAGACTCAGTCACAACAGGCCCCCCTACCTTGTGATCATATTATACCCCAGGGACTTCCCACACCCTTACCCCATCTACATCCCTGCTGCTCAGGAAGTCAGAGGGTTGGAGTTCATGGGGGTATTTGATGGCCAGGCCGGGCTGTGGTTACCAGGACGCGGAGGGGCTCTAGCCCCAGCGGAGGCCTTGCTGGATGTTTGCCATGCGCCAGGGAGCTGCGGCACCGCCTTGTCCTGCTTATGGACCCAGAGGGGACAAGTACGCAGCTCCAGGTCGCAGCTCCTCAGTGGAAGGCAGGGTGCGGGGCGGGCGTCAACAAGGTGGCCCGCTGCCTTCCGGATCCCATCCACTGGGGTGGCAGAGGCAGAGGATGAGGCCTGGTGCTGGCTCACAAGATGCCGAGGGACCTCAGGCCCAGGGCAGTGCGGGAGCTGGATGGGGCTGAAACCCATGGCGCAGGCGCCCGGGTCCTCGCCTGAAGATGTCGCTGTGTGGTCCCTGAGTGCATGCCCAGTGGCAGGGGCTGTTGCTATTCTTACCTACCTAGTGGTGGCCACAGGGTCAGCGATAGTGGCTGCATGGGAGGGAGTCATGAGCACCAGCACCTTATCTGACACATTCTCTGGAAACTTGGCAGGGGCTGCCAGGCTTTGGGGGCCTGGTAGGGGCGCGGTGGGATGGTCACCTGGACTGGCTGGGGGATGGGCCCTCGGGCGAGGCCTGCAGAAGCTGCCTCTCCTACAGCCAGCCAGGCCCCAGCAGAAGTGGGACTTCCACTGCGACTCCTTCCCATGGGGTCATCAAGACGGCAGGTCATCCTGCGCTTCCTCCCCAGTCGCCCAGAGACACTGCGTGGGCTCCCGGGCGAGGAGGCAGGGGCTGCCTCTAGGAGAGCACTCGCGGGGCGCAGGTCGCGCCGCCACTGTCCGCCCACGTTTGGCTGTGCGACCTCGTGCGGTGGCTTCTCCGCTCTGAGATTCCCTTTCCTCCTGTCCTCGCCCCTTTCCTAGGCTGTCGTAAGAATGACGGGGCCAGCAGCGGGGACTCGCCGGGGCTGCCGCGGTGTGTGTGCACGTCTGCACGCGCGAGCCCGGGGTGGGGGGGTGGGGCCCAGGAAGGGAAGAGGGAGGCGCCCAGGTCCCCCACCTTGGACACTCCCGCCTCTCGGATTTTCCATTGGCACGTCGGCACCCTCTCCCCCAAAATAGGCCCCAAGAGCCGCGTGCGACAGAGCCCAGACGGAGGGGGCTTTTTTTAGCTGCCCTTGGATTGTCAGCTCGCCAGCGGCCGCTATTTCCAGCCCAGCGGCTGCAGGAGGGCCTGGCC